AGTTCTAAGTCTAGTGTTAGTTCTAGTTTTAGTTCAATAAAAATATACAACAATCTAGTACTGAATCACAATTAAAACTAGAACTAACACTAGACCTAGAACTAGAAACATTCGGATTTAGCCGCACGTCTTTCAAGACGGCTAATCCCGAATGATTCTAGTTCTCGGTCTACTGTTAGTTCTAGTGATAGTGCCAGTGTAAAACTAGAACTAACACTAGACCTAGAACTAGAAACATTCGGATTTAGCCGCACGTCTTTCAAGACGGCTAAACCCGAATGATTCTAGTTCTCGGTCTACTGTTAGTTCTAGTGATAGTGCCAGTGTAAAACTAGAACTAACACTAGACCTAGAACTAGAAACATTCGGATTTAGCCGCACGTCTCTCAAGACGGCTAAACCCGAATGCTTCTAGTTGTCGGTCTAGTGTTAGTTCTAGTGATAGTGCTAGTGTAAAACCAGAACTAACACTAGTATTAGAACTAACATTAAACTTAGAACTAGAAACATTCGGATTTAGCTGTCTCAAAAGACGTACAGTTAAACCCCAATGCTTCTTAGTTCTAAGTCTAGTGTTAGTTCTAGTTTTTATTCAATAAAAATATACAACAATCTAGCGCTGAATAACAATTATATCCCAAGTTCGTTAAATCGAGGTTTTACAGTACTTATTATTATTTTTACTTTTAGTACTTTTAAAAAATTAAATTTGTTTGATGTAATAATTTGTTTTATATCTACAAAAGAATTTTAATAAAGCATTCTCTCTTTATAAATTTTTTCTTCTTGTCTGAATAAAAATGCTTAGGGTGAGTTTTTAATAAGGTTTATGTTTGTCATACACACGTTTATAATGGAGGCCAAAAAAAATGTAAAAATGTTAACGTAAACGATATTCTGTCGAGTAAACGAGGAGCTTTCGTCCATTATCGTTTGCCTTAATTTCGGTTTTATTACTCTGTGCAATCGGAACGAAAAGAACAAAGAGTGTAAGAGAAGAACAACGAAAATCCGTCCGAAGGGAGTATTTTGTTTATTATTATTTCGTCCCGGACATAATGAAAACGGTGACCGTTTCAGTTTTAACGAAGGATTTCTCGTGTTTCCCGCAGATTTTAATTACTTAAAATAACAACCTGGTTGATAACGTCAGAGTCACCGTAAAAGTGCGGAAAGTATTTCAATTATGAAATACTCGGTGAAAACGCAGTGTTTTTTTAATTATTTATTCTTTTCAATTTTATGTTGAGAATGACTTAAGAAAGTTTTTATTTGTATTTTTTGTTTCCTCCCGTAAAGATTTTATAGGGACATCTTTTCTTTTAAAAGGCTATTCTAAACTTAGAACGTTTACATCTTACACAGTAAAATTTCCTTGAATTTAATACAACCGTATGGGAAATTTCGATACCCGTATGGGAAACACATACGAAAATGTCGTAAAAATCCAACATTTCAGAAGAGGCGTAAAAGAATATCGACACAACACCGATGCATAATATAAAAATAAGGAACGTATCTATAAAAATGCTTTGTCTTGTAACGCTCTGTACGACTTTTATGTTAGAGTTAAATCGTAAAATATATATCACTTTTAATAAATGTAATGAAAAGATAACATAAAAAGAAGTTTGATGTGTAAAAAAATTATAGATTTCTTTTTAATAATAATTGTTTATAATAAGGGTTTTCACCAATATTTAAAATTATCTAATCTAAGGATTAGATCCGAATACTAATTGTGAGTCTAAAGACATTCTACTATCAAAGAAAAAGTTATTCAACTGCAACATCTCACACAAAACTACAATTTATATAAAGTGAATCTTTTAGGAATTACAGACACTCAAACTATGTCTTGCACAGATAACATCATTACTAAGTAGAACAGTGACCTATACTAAGGAAAAACAATCATCCTACATTTGTCGGATCATTACGCTCAATTATTAGAGCTACAATAAAATAAATAACTTTTATCTACGACTGCTTGGATAAGTCATCATTACCACACTCATTTGAGTTACGTAATGAAGTTCATTACCGCACTGGTTTTATTACGTAACGCATTTTTAGCCCAATCAAAACAGACTGAAGAAAAAAGAAAAAGTGTTACCTATTTAAAGAGAATCAATACTAATAAACATTAATTGTTATGTTTTTACATTTCGAAACACTTATTCCAGATGAGTAAACATGTTATTGAAACTGACATTAATTCAAAATTGGCAACAATCATTTGAAAATATTTTAAAGACATTGTATTTTAAGTAATTTTTAGCAGTCGTAGATAAAATGTTGTATATCACACGTGGGCTAGAGCATAATTACAGTACTCGTGTGATTACACGACTCGGTCTACTACCTCGTCGTGCAATTCTCCAAACTTGTAATATAAATAACTATTAAATAATTGCATTATGAAAATTAAATTTTACATGTCTTTCTGACGTTATGTAACGTCACTTTTTTATAACTAGTGATGTAATGAATTCCATTACCTAACTACAAATTGATATCTGTCACTAATAGAATAAGTCAAGTTTTGAACAAATATTAGAATCAGATAAAATTTTGTACTTAATATGTTATGAAACGGCTAATTTTGTTTAATTCACGTAATTTGCAAAAAATAAATAACTATTACATTTTTACTTGTTCCTTCTTCTTAGCCCACCGTCTTCCTTTCAAAACCGACGATCTAACTGGCTATAATGATGCATGATATCCTCTGAATATTTCAATAGATGTCCGTCTGAACCACCGGTTTAGATCTTTGAGACACAAGTTGTGTCGGCTTCCACCTGACCTTTCTCCTTCGATTTTTCCTTCAATAAGAAGATTGAAACTTCTCTTCTTTAACGGTTATCAGTAGCTCCATGTGTTTCCCCATCTGTTTGTACCTTCGTTATTTGTTCTATCCATGATATGCGTAGAATACGAGTGTATAGGTCAATGAATCGACTTTCTAGCGATTGATTGAATTTTCATAGATCACAAATTGCAAAGAGTGTCTTTATAGAGATAAACATCTTTCTGGCGTACTCAATTCGTGACAGGATTTCTTAATTCGCAGGTTTGTCTTTTTCGGTGACTTGGAAAACACGATCATCTTAGTCTTGGCAGTATTCATATGTAAGCTGTATTGTGTACTGTGCGTGGTGATGAGATTTGCCATGTTTTGGAGATGTGAAATACTTGTAACCAAGACGGCAGTGTCAGCGGCAAAACGTAGATTGTTTCAGGGGCTCCATTGATCTTAATTCCTCCCTCATCATTCACTAGTACTTCCTGGAATATCACTTCCGAGTAGATATTAAAAAAGAGAAGAGACAGAACGGTCTACGCCTCTCCGGGTATCTATTTTATCAAATGTTGGGCTTCTGCAGTTTGAGTTTAATACAACTTTAAGATGACATGCAGGTCGCCCTCTTCAATGCCGGAGGTTTTGAGAATTTCTGCAATCTTCCCATGTGAGATACAGTCGAGGTTACAACACGCAATGAAGATTTGCTCTTCCCAGCCCATGATTATATAAGATAACTAACCATTCACAACAATGAATTCTATTTTTTGTAAGTCAATTAGGTTATATCCATCATTTTCTAAAATGGTGTTTATAATGAAAGGTCCTTTGTATGATCATCTTCCTAAATTATCCCGTAGTTGCCACTTCTCGTCTAATCAAAACCAATTCTACTTCTTGGTACTTTCTACATTTTTGATCCTTCATATTTTTTATAGCTTTTTATCAAAATTCATTTTATTTTTCGATGTCTGATATGTAATGATCTTCTTCAAGAGCTACAATTACACGATTTTTGCAAAATATCCCTAAGCTGAAAACCAAATAGTGATTCATGAGGTGTCTTCTGAGTATTTGAGTTCTTTATGGTGTTTAAACCGAATTCAATTCCTTGTAGCTTTTTGTCCCATGTTCGTTCATTTAATGATTTCATCATTGCAGTTTTTGTTGCTGTCATTATTTGGTTAAATTTTTCAACAATTTTTGAAATTCTCAAAATCACGTGCCATATAAAAGATTTCTCCGTCTGTTGTAAGTCTTGTCGGGCTACAGAAGGTTCCAAGTAATTTCTTTCATAATTTTTATAATCGGTTTACTTTTCGTATTTTTCACTGTTCAGATAATAACGTATTTTATAAAGTACTTTACACAAAAAGCTGGTAAGCATTTCTTCTTTTTACTTATTATGAATGGTCCTAAGTAATCTACTTTACCGGTAGCAAAAAATAACGATGTCACTTTTTGATGTTATCCAAGTCAATCTCTTTTTTTCTCTCCAACTTTGTAGTATATGTCCACTTAACGTAGGATTTTACGCAGCTTGTTACGCGTTTTTTCATCCTCAATAACCAAAAATATCGTTTAAAGCTCCAAAGTCCTTTTTAAAGGGTAATGTCCCAGCGTTGTGTTTTTATTTTGTTTACCCTCTTGGGTTCGTTAAAATTTCTCACGATGTATCCCACTATGTTATCATTGAATCTTCCTTTCCTTTATGATTTTAGACATTTCACTAAAATATGCCGCACTTCATTGCAATTATAACATTTTTTTGTAGTATCGTAAATTGTTCGCTTTTCTGTTAAAGACTTATCTATTATCTTCAACATCTTAGTGTTAATGTCAATAAAGTACTCTATCATTAGAAACACATCCTCAAACTCGGAGTATTACTAATTTCCAACTATATTGATCGATGTAACATGATAACACGTAATCCATCGTTAAAGGATCACATACAGTTACTAGATAAATATGTCGTCATAATAAACCACGATTTGCAAGGGTCGTACTTCGTGACCCAAGTAATTGCGATATGGTGCAATAATTTCTAAGTCACGTTTCTACATGACTGTGATTATCTAACGTACGTGCAAACTAATACTAATAAATCGGTGGTTATATACAATATCATGAACCAGCAGTAAAATAAAATTATGAATTGATTATAAAATTTATATTTTTAATTTAATTTCAGTATAATATCAAGAAAAAAGAAGAAGTTGTAGACCCATTACAAGAAGAACCTAATCCTCTAATGCGTAAGAAGAAAACGCCGGAAGAGTTGGCGCGAGAAGCTGAAGCTGAGGAAGAAGACGAATTTACAAGTGAGTGCTTAGGGCGTATAACAAAAGTTAAAAAGCGTTGCAATATCCTGTAGTTTGTGAGTTCCATGTTCTTGAAAGTTATTAAAATCACATGAACGCCGAACCAATAACAGCCCAAAAACATCTTTTAATAAAGTATACTCTCAAAACAATCTTAAAAAAAAGAAACACAAAAAGTAAAGGATTTGAATGAAGCTTAAAAGACTCAAAAAAAATTTAATAATATCTCATTCATGAATGTTTGTTGTTAATAGATTTTTTATAACGTGTGGAATCTTTGAATTTTCTCTGTTTACACTGTTTTTACACTTTGTTATTGTTAAAGAGCTTAAAAGAAAACAGTAATCATTACAACGATGGTTAAAAATTAAAATATAACGGGACCAAAATTGAAATGAAAAGATATTTGACTTTCTCCCTATAAAAAAAAACAAAAATACGGGGTGTTCTTTAAATAAATTGATACTTAAAGAATAATTATTCTAAACAACAAACAATAAAAAAGATAATTGTTTATAAGCAATAAACTGTATGTTACATATCTTAAAATATTGAAATAAAAGACTTAAAAATACTAATGGTTGTGTAAATGCATAATAAATTCAAATTAAAGATAATGTTGACTTTTTTTCAAAGGAAACACACGTTATAAAAATAGAATAAAAAGTTTGAAATCCCCGAAAATTTCAAATCAATAAAATCTAAATGTATCTTTAAATGTTTCCCCTTTTCAAATAGAAATGAAATAAATGTTACGATTCAATCATTTTGATGTAGTTGTTGTAAAAAAATAATAAGTAATAATTAAATAATTAAGTCGTTTTTACCCCAATTTACAACGATGTATAATGTAATACCCTATTTTATTAAACGTTTTTTGACTGTTATCTATTGTATAGCACTAATTATTATAAAACAATTACGATTTTAAGAAAATACGTAGCTGATGTTATTATATTGCTTAAGTAGAATTAGTTTATTAGATTTCCCGTAGTTTTTATGACGAAAAAAAACGCTTTTAAAAAGAGAGAGATAAAACACGGTTTACATAAAAATTTTACATTTTTTTATTCATATTTTTTTGTTGTACGTGTCTTGTTTTTCACGTTATGGCACAATTTAATGAATATATCACATCACTCGTACAAAGCTAAACATAAAAAAATAATATTCTGGAAAATATTGCGTATTCATTTGGAAATTCTAAAACTGTTATTAGAAAGGTTAATAATATATTTTTTTTTGTTTTATAATTGTCGGTTTAGGAATTAACAACAATAGCGATGATAATTTATTAATAAGAAGAAATAGGAAACGTGTTGCCAAAAATTCCTGTCGCATGTCGGTTTTAAATGTAACTCTATAAATTCTATTATACTTTCTACTATATTCTAACTGTTATATATTTTACTTTTTGCTATACACATATTTAATGGATGTTTTTTCTCTCAATGTGTCTCCTATTATTGTTATTTTAGTTTCTTTGGTGAACGTGTTGTACTTGTACATGTCTTTAATTGTGTCAAACAGAAAAACTACACGACAACATTATCTTCCTTATTTTTAATTAATATTTTTTTTTAATGGTATTTTATGAGATTTTTATTTTCTTATTTTTTTTATTTTAATTAATTTAAATACATTTATTATTTTCTTCTAATTTGTTTTATTTATTAAAAAATATATATTTAAACAAATATAATAAAATAAATTCTAAACTGTGACAATACTAAATAATTTCTTTTAAATAAGATTAAATACAGGATATTTTATATTTACAGTCTTGTGATTTTAATTATTAATGTTTTTTTTTTTATTTTTTTCATGTAATCCATTTTACACCACTTGTTCAAAGTTATCGGCGTGTTGTTGAACGTAATGATTAATAATTTACTACGCCTTGAACTTTCCATCGCCGCAACTACCTTAACACGGTTATCATCTAAATCAATGATTTCGTTAGTATAGTCTTCATGACGCCCCAAAACTAGTAATCAAAGGTTACTATATATAGGTTATATCTATACTATCTATAGGTTAAGGTCTGGTATCCGAGGAGGTCATAGAACAAGACCACGTCGATACATCAAAGGAACTTCTCCAATAGTTCTATAAACTGTTTTTGCAAAAAACAAGATAAACATTTCCAGTTAATCGATTTGGCAACACAAAGAGACCAATAACCTGAAATTGATCATGCAGCAAGAAGTTTTAGGTTGATATGATATTTCGATCGCAAGCAACATTGGCTTTATCGGATAAAATCATACATTTCTCACTGTGATTAATGCCAACATCTGAGGCGAAACAATGTGATGATCAGTTTCGGGTTGATATGATATTGAGTGTAGAGCCTCGACTGCAAGCGAACTTAACTTTATCTGATTAAATCATACATATTCTAGTTGTCTATATTTTCTAGTTGATATGATATTAACTAGAGCGTCACACAAGCAACCTCGGCTTAATCGGTCAAAATCATACATTTCCCTGTTTGATTACAGCCGAGGCGCAGCAATGTGAGAATCAGTTTCAGATTGATTGAATTATCAGTTTTGGGTTGATATGATATGAACTATAGAGTCTCGCCCATCAGCAATCTTAGCATAATCAGATAGAATCACATATTTCCTAGCAGCAATGTGATGATCATTTTCAGGTTGATATGATAGTAACTGTAATGCCTCGCCCGCAAGCAACTTCGTCTTAAACGGACAGAATCATACATTTTGCAGTTTGATTACAGCCGAGGCGCAACAATGTGAAGATCACAGTTTTAGATTGATTGAATTATCAATTTCGGATTTGTTGAATCATTACTTTCGGGTTAATATGATACTGAGTGTAGAGCCTCGATCGCAAGCGACCTTAGCTTTATCTGATAAAATCATACATATTTCACTGTAATTAAAGCTGAAGTGCAGCAATTGATGGCCACTTTCTGATTGATATGATATTAATTGTAGAGCGTCGCCCGCAAGCAACTTCGGCTTAATCGGTCAAAATCATACATTTTCCAGTTTGATTACAGCCGAGGCGCAGCAATGTGAGGATCATAGTTTCAGATTGGTTGAATTATCAGTTTCGGAATCATTGAATGATCAGTTTTGAGTTGATATGATACCTCGTCCGCAAGCAACCTCGACTTAATCGGACAGACTCACATATTTCCTAGCAGCAATATGATGATCATCTTCAGGTTGATATGATATTAACTGTAAGAACTCGCCTGCAAGCAACTTCGTCTTAATTTTACAGAATCATATATTTCCTACTGTTATTAAAGCCAAGGCCGCTTTCGCTCGAGTTACAGCAAATTGATGATCATTTCCGGGTTAATATGATATTAACTGTAGAACTTCGCACGTCAGCGACCTCGACTTAATTGGATCAAATTATACATTTCCCAGTTTGATTAAAGCCTGGGCCAGACCATCACAACAAAGTGATGATCATTTTCAGGTTGATATGATATTAATTGTAGAGCCTCGCCCACAAGCGACCTCGGTTTAATTGGATAAAATTATACATATCTCTGTTTAATTAAACCCAAGGCTAAACTATCATAGGAATATGATGATCATTTTCGGGTTGATATGATATTAACTGTAGAGCATACGAATTCTTAATTGGATGAAATCACACATTTCCCAGTTTGATTAAAGCCGAGGCCGAGGCGCAGCAATGTGACATTCAGATGGTCAAAATTATTCAATGGTCAGTTTCGGGTTGATATTTTATTAAGTGTAGAACCTCGATTGCAAGTGACCTCGGACAAAATCACATATTACCTATTGTAATTAAAGTCAAGGTCACTTTCGGCCGAGGCGCAGCAATGTGTTGATCAGTTTCTGATTGATACTTTGTTAACTATAGAGCCTCGGCCTCAAGCGATCTTGTCTTAATCGGATAAAATTATACATTTCCCGCTTTAATTAAAGCCATCAATACAATGATTCAACACTCGCCAATACAATGAAAGAAAAGTTTGAAATTTCAGTTTTTGTTGGAAGTATCGGCATAATTGTAAGCGTAAGAGATGATTTTTGTAAAGCCTGTACTTTTGTGCCAAACAATTCGAATTTAGACATCTACTTGGCGAGATATTTGTCAAGTACTACTAGAAAAATCTTTTCAGGGGGCTGAGAAGGGAGATGAGAGGGGGTGATTTTACAACAGTTGTGGGGTAAATACATGGAGCAAGGGGTTGGGATGACCTCAGAAAGCAAGTCAAAATATTAATTATGCCGTGGATGTGTTAGGGAGGGTGAGAAGGGAGATTACAAGATTTGGAAGGCTATACATTAGGTTGGCGTCATTGAAAACACTAGAAAAATCTTGTTTGGCAAAAATTAAGATTTCTTCTTCTGCATTCAAAATTCGTTGGTGTCTGGCAGGTCCGCCATACTGATCTTGAAGTGTTTGCAGTACACCAGTTTTTTTCAATTTTGTGGAATAGTTGTTGGCGTGTTAGGAAACGGCTCAGCATTCAATCGAGTTGAAGCAGCTATATGGGGAAGTACTCTAGCTTCTCCATAAATTGTTGGGGCGATGAATTATTTTTCCTTACCTTCTTCCTCCTATGGCGTTGCAATCTGCTGTCGAACCCTCCTTCATCTTCAGCCTCCATATCTCCTTATCTCTCGCCTCTCTCTTCCTATTTCTGCAACTCAGCACTTCTCGTACGTCCACATCGACTGTCTTATCCCATCTTCTCCATGGTATTCCCTTCGGTCTTACTCCTTGCATTTTCTTATCTATTAACATTTAGACAGAGAATAACTATTATCTTTGATAATGGCATTGTTCTGTGTTATAGGTAGCTTTCTTTCCCATTTTGGCAACATGCCCAGCCCATTGCAGCCTCTGAATTCTTATGACACTGAATAGCTCTGCTTCATTGATAACTTATACTTACCTTACTTTTACTTATAAGGATTTATTACAGAAATTTATGTCAAACCAATAGTGCAGTGAAAAGCAATGTGATGACCTACCTGGTGAGACATATGCTTTTGCTTTCGTTAGATTAACATGGACACTGGATGGTATTGGTTTTATCTTTTTTTTTTACAAAAAGTAATTTAGTAGTAACTTTTTTTGCGTTCAACAACACGATGATAATTTTGAACAATTAGTGTAAAGTGAATTCCATTAAAAAAAAAATAGAGAACGTTTTCACGTTAAGCACCCCTAAAAAAATAGAATCACCAGACTGTAATCACCCTGTATAAGAAATTTTTTTCTTGTGTGTTTCGCTTTTCAGAATTGAAGAACACGATAGAGACACAAGTAAACGAACTGAAGACGCAAATAGAAAGTAAATGTGTGATGCAATGAACGAAAAAACCGCGGATTTAAAGACACACCAAGACACGCCAACACCACCACCTTAATTTAAACACAAAAAAAATACCAACCCTTTAAGAAAAAATAACTCATAATAAACACACGCGAAAAAAAAAATAATAAAAATTATATATCGCTCAGAGAGAACAAAAAAAAAGAATTATAGGGAAATAATTAATTAATAAAAAATCGCTTCGTAAAAAAAACGAAAATAATAAAATAATTAAAAATACTAAATAGCGAAAAATGTGTTTGTTAGCGATTAAAACCTGTGATCGGACTTAGCTGTACGTATGTGTGTTTTCGTATTAAGTAAAAACCCTTTTATCATAATCAACCCTCATCCCCATCCAAAAATATCCAAATGTCTGTAATAAAAATAAGTTATTTGTTCGTTATTATGGTTAAATTGTGAATTTAGTCGTGGTGCAGAGAAAACTGCCAAATTAAAGAAATGGTTAACGTTTAATGAAATAAAAGGATTTTCAACCTCCGGAAAGAAAAGAATTAAAATTAAAAATAATTGTACATTTTACAAAAGAGACTGCGATGAAACAACCATTAAAAAAAATTAATAAAAAAAAATATTATGATGACATGTCTCACCGTTATCATAATAATTTTGAGAGAGAAATAGCAATTTTCGAAATGAAAAAAAAATTTAGAATAAATAAAATACAAAAACGACGAAAATTTGTGTACTTAGATAGATTTAAAACAAAAAGTGTGTAGAGTAGTTTTAAAACGAAAAAAAAATTAATTAAAACGATTAATTTCTTATTAATTTATTTATTTTGAATTATTTAGAATTTTTGTTGTCCTTTTTAAATGAAAATCAAACACTAATTGCCCGTTTTGTTTTAAAAATAGGGAAGTTTGTGTTCGGTTTTTCATCCAAATTCCCGTAAATAACATAAATAGTGTTAAACGTCTTTAATTTTTATTTTTGTGTTTCTGTGTTGGGCCAACATTTAATGTTAAAAACATTAAATTATTGGTTATGTGCAAAAAGTTGTGTTGATTCTAATATTTTAAATAATCCAAATTAAAAGTTTCTTTCAAAAAAAAAAGAAATCAGTTTAAAATTCTTCAAAAATTTTTTAAAACGTGCCTTAATGAGCCTTTTATAGTTTAAACGCTAAAAAGATACAAAAGTGATCATCGAAACAAAAACGTAATATTTAATAAACGTTTATTTTTGTTTTAATTTTCTTTTAATTTAAGGCTTTAATAAAAACAATTTAAGAAAAAATTAACGAAATATTAGAATCAACAGCTTTGTTGATGTGCTAAAAATAAACGAAAACAACAAATTTATAATACTCTAAATAAAACTAAAAGAAATTTTTATGGATCTAGTATAACATAGCATAAATTTTAAAATTTTCGTTTTTCTTTTTGAACGAAAATTTTAAAAAACTTAATCCACCCATCTTAAAATCAAAAAAACAAACTTAAAAAATTCGCTTTTGTTTTTCGGTGTTGCATGTCACATGTATATTCTTGTTATTCTTAAAAAACGTAATAGTTGTTATCTCTCTGTCTCTTATTGTCTATTTAACTGTGTCATGTAATTGTATTTAGATGACATAATCGACTACAACAACAAATTCAAATTTAAACGACAAAATATTAAAAAAAAAATTAATAATACACGCATGTCTTTTAAATTTTCTATTTCACACACTTATCTAAAAAAAATTAAACCAATTTTTAATTGGTTTTTCTTAAAAAAAAGCTTTATCTATGCACCGCATTTATTATTAATTTAATTGCACTAATTTTTTTTTTAGTTTAATATTATTTTATCTTAAAATTTTCACGAGAATTCACTTTAATGATTATTAAAAAAGCAACATAATGTAACCAAGATTATAAATACAATGTTGCGTAAAAATGTTTATTAAAGTGAGTCGTTAAAATGAATAACATTTAATAGATTAGGTGGGATTTTTGTGAATTATCATATATTTAATCTTTAAAATCGTTTTAATCAATAATTAACATCAATAACTAGTAATAATTTTACATAAAGAATGATAAGAAAAGGTGATCTATAATGAAAGTTACAACCCCTCTAACTAAGCCATTATCGAGCAATTATTCAACTGTAATACACAAAATAACTAAAAATCAAAAAAATTAAAAATGATAAATATCAATTCTTTCTCACATTTCTCTTTGGCTTCATTAAATATCTTTTTATTTTCTGAAGTTATTTGTACCAAAAAGAAAGTGCAAAGAAGTCGGAAGAAAGCCAAAAAGAAGCCAAATTAATAAGATCTTGACATTCAGCATCTTTAAAATGTAATGCTATAAAGAATGTAAAAGAACGCTAAGAAGGCAAAATAAATTCCAAATTTTGTGCTATCTTATTGACTTCTTGGTTATTTAGTTATAAAAATATTTGTCAGAAATAAAGGAATAAGCCATGCTTTACTTCCTTCTGACTTCTTTTTGACATGCCACACATTATTGTCAACTTTATTTGGCAGAATTTGTTTCTCAGATGGAGAGGTAAAGTTGCCAATGTGCTTTTGGATGAATAACACATATACAAAGAAATCAAAGTAGCTTCGTCCTTTTATGCTATCTCCTTAGCTACTTTATTATTTAACTTTGGTTTCTTGTTATTACTTAAAGTATCTATACCATAAAGAAGTCAGAATTGTTATGAAAAGCCACTTATATTATATAAGCCATTCATATTCCAGTGTGGCTGTTTCTGCCATTTCATTTAGCTTCTCCTTGGTATCTTTCTCGTGTTTTAAACCAAATAGAAACTTTTGGTTTATATCAAAAAGAAGAAAGAACGAAGCCAGAATGAAACCAAATTGACAAGTGTCTTTTTGAAACCTCTTTGGTATCTTTCTCCTTTTTTGTGGCATCAAGAACGTAAAGGAACCCTAAAGGAAACAAAGTGGAGTCGGAGTTTTATGCTACCTTATTGGATTTTTTGCAATTTCGCTTGGATTTCTTTTCTACTTCAATCCGGCTGTTCCTGCCACTTCATTGACATCTTTCTGGCTTCTCTTTGGCATGCCAAACATTGTTGCCAATTTTCTGTGGCTTGTTTATCTTCTTATCAATATGCTTTAAGAGTTTGAATTCAAATAGGAATAAGGATTGAGCAACAAATTTACACAAAAAAAAAGACAATAAAACGAATTCCAAGTTACTTTGATTTTTGGTTGATTATATAACCTGTTTATTCCAGAAAGAAGCCCGATAATGCATTAAGCTAAGCTCTGACTCTTTCTGCCATCTCATTGGTTTCCTGTAGGCTTCTTTTTAAGGACGCCAACGATATTTGTCGATATAATTGTGTTACCTTCTTAAAAAATTAAACTAAGAAAGAGATCTTTCTGACGAACAACAAATTTCCAAAAAAAACCGTCATAAGTGAGGCAACAATGAATTTGAAGTTATGTACGTGCCTCTTATTTCATTGTGATTTTCACTTTGGTCACATCAAATATTTATGCTAAAAAGAAGCTACAAATAATGCAATACATTATTCAAAAAATTGCTTCCTCTGGTTTCTTTCTGGAATATCGTTATCAATTTTCTTTGACTTATTTTATCTTATTGATATTCTTTTAACAATTTGAATTCAGATAGAAAGGTAAATCCAAAATGCTTTCAAATGAACAATGAATATTCAAAAAACTCAGACAAAAAGAGAAAATGAATTCAAAGTTTTATACTGTCTTCTTGGATTATTCGTATTTTCGCTTTGGGATTGCTGTTTATTGATTAAAATATTTATGCCAAAAAGATGCCTGAAATAATACAATATATGAACTTCATTCTTACTTTTTCTGCCATCCTATTAGCTTCATTTAGGAATGGTTTTGCCTTCTTTCTGCTTTCTTTAAAATATTAATCCAAAAATGACGTAAAAATTGTTTATCTTATTTTATTAATTGTTAGCTCAGTAAGAGTTGATAAAGAAGCCAAAAAAAATGCAAAAATGTATTCGAAATTTTGTGTTTTCGCCTTGGCTTCTTTGTAAATCTGTTTTGGTTACTTAATTACTTAAAATATGTGTGCTATAAAAAGGCCAGAATTATTTCTACTTTATTGCATAAGTTCATTCTCAAATCTGACTTTTTCTGCTTATTTAATTGACTTCCTCCTAACTTCTCTTCTGCATGCCTAACATTGTTGTCGATTTTTTGAAACTGGTTTTATCGTGTTACAAAATCTTAGGCGAAGATCACAAAATGAATTAACTGTTTTATACTTAAATTAACAGCTTTCAGCCTCTTCTTGATCTTTTTATAACTCAAACTTCATTTCGACTAATTCTTCCTTTTAGCTTTTCTTTGGCATACTCTTATCTTTCTTCTGTTTACTATTTTAGCATTCTTCCTTCATCTTTTTGACTTATTTAACAAGTTTTATCCACAAAATGGGCAAATGTTGTTGTTTTAAAACTTTAAAATTTGTATGCCAAATAGAAGGCAGAAAGGAAAGGAGAATGCTGCAAAAGGAAGTCAATCTTCTTTCTGAATTTTTCTGTGTAATTACTTCTTACTCCTGATATTTCTATAAAAAAATCAGCTAAAGTGCTTGTGATTGAAGGAAGAATTTAAAGAGCGATTCTAAATAAGATTAATCATTATCATTCATCATTAACAAGAATGTATGAGGAGTTAATATAAAGATGGCAAAAGAAATCAGAAACTATTTTATTGTTTATTCTTACTGTAACAAAATGGTATCAAAATCCATCATTTTTAATTCATTATAGATTTAATATACAGGGTGAGCCAGAAAGATGAAAAAATTCTGAACTAAAATACGACTATTTAACCTAATATACCTAATGCCAATATTGCTGATTTGGATGTTTCATTTCTTACTTAATTTTTCTTATGAAAAATTGTAATTTGATACTGATGGTGTGATAGGTCATACAGGGTGCTAGTTACGCCTTACTATTTTATAAGAACTATCAATATTGCTTTTATAAGTCGAAATATAATCAACAAAAGTTATAAATCTGAAAAAATCTGTAAAATAATAAGACGTAATAAGCACCACTATGTCCATTCGTAAACAAAACTTTGAATTTCTTGTTTTAGTATCAATTTTGAAACATAACAAACAG